CCAGTGTTCAGGAAGCACAATGCGTTTAATTTGCTCCAGGTCTTAAGAGGCAGATCTGTTTACTACTACTACTGTACCATAAGAGAAGATTGCCAAGATCATGCAGTTTTCAAGGGATGAAGTCCAGGTCCATGGCTTTGGCTTCTACAGACTTTGGAATCTGAAGAAGAATCCTTTAGTGTATGTTGTGTCCAGTGATGAAGGCCCCCCCGAAGTGAGTGGCTGTGCAGAATTTCACAGCATATTTTCAATCTGGCTGGGATCGGAGTTCAGACCTTCTGACTCCTAGTGTAGATGATAGGAAATAGCCACTTGGCGGATGATGCCCACTGGGAATTAGCCTTGGGTCTGTCTGATGGCATATTATAGAGTACAGGGTCACCGGTGATACTCAGCAGTTGAGTCCTCAGCCTAATTACCTTTTGTCATTGCCCTCTGCTCCAAGTCTTCCCTTTAAAGTGAGATGGTGTAACAAATAATGACCACTCTTTTCTGCTTGATGATAATGATCTTCTAATCTATTATCTTTAATAATAGACAGTCACATAGCAACAAAGCAGTAAAGTATAGGGAATATGTGTTCTTCAGGCCTTCCTTCTGGGTTCTTAAAAAAGGTAAATCTCTTGCAAATCTGGAATTTAAAAAAGTCTTTTTTTTTTAAAGATTTATTTATTTGCAAAGCTGAATGAAAGAGAAAGAGAGGGAGAGAGACTTTCTATCTGCTGAAACTCCTTCTAGGTCTCCCACCTGAGTAACAGGGGCCCAATTACTTGAGCCACTTTCTGGTGCGTTTCCAATACCTTAGCAGGGAACCAGACTGGAAGAAGAGCAACTCAGATGTGAACTGGCCATCATTTGGGACGCCAGAGTTGCCTGTGGTAGTGTAAACCACTGTGCTACAGCACTGGTCCTTATAACCTAATACTTGGGAGTCTCCCCTTGAAGTCCTAGGGCTGCTCAGAAAGATGGTGACTATGGGCCCTGTCTCTCAAGGTCAGTCTTCCTCCGGGAGCTGACTTGGCTGGACTCTGCTGCCTGTGCAGGTTGACATGACTAGCGTAAGGTCCTTTGGAGCCTTACTTTTCTGGTTGGGAGGTTGCAGGTTAAGGGCTGCCGGCCGTAGTGCTGACAAGTCACAGGGCCGTCTCCAGATGGTGTTTTTCTTTTTTTTTTTTTTCACTCTACTTCCTCTTATGAAGGAACAGTTAACTTTCTCCCTTCTTGCATACCAGGAAGGGAATGAAATGGCTTTGAAGGGAAGTCTGGGCCAGGGTGTCTTTCAGTCATCCTGCTTCATTGTAATCCAGAGAGTGGTCCTTCGGTCTTTTTTTTTTTTAATTTATAAAATTTTATATACACATTACCCCCCCTTGTCCTGTTGTTATCAGCACATTGATAACTGCCAAGTTGCTTTGAGGGTTAATTCCCTTCATTCCGAAAGTTCTTCTCAGTCCTTCCCTTCCCTCTAGCGAGGAGCAATGAGTCAGTTCAGGTCCTTAGGAAGAAAACCTTGCCCCTTACGTTCCTTATTCTCCACTCACCCTTGAGGGAAAGTCGTTCCTTCATAGACTGGTAAAAGCAAGGCCTCTGAGGCTATTTTGAGCCATTTCCTTGACCACGACAAGATGGCGTTTCGCCAACATTTTCTAGGTCCATTGTCTATGTCACTCCTGGTCATTCCCAACCCTCATGCTAACCGTTGCAATGCTTGAGTATCTGGTGCAGAGCAGGCCTTTCACCAGGCACTACCTCTATCATTTCAGGTGATTCTGAAAGGTAGTTATCTGCCAAAGGCTCAGGCTTGGAGAGAGTATGGGATCTACCCAAAATCACGCAATAAACTAAGCTTCAACTCCAGGATTTCCCGGGTTTGTAGTCCGTGTCTCCCCAGTGTGCATTGCTGCTGCGATGATTACAACACTGAATTAACAGTGACCCCTGAACTGTTCCGAACGGTGGGAAGGTCCCTTCTTTGAGTGAGCTGCAGTTTCACAGCGGGAGCCCCTGGGGTAGCAGAAAGCCCTGCCAGGCCCACAGTTCCTGTTGCGTTTGTGTTGACTCCAGCATGCAGTGTCTTGATTTCAAACAAAAGAGGCCGAGGTCAAGTTTAGACTTAAGGCCTCTCCATGCTTTTGATAAGGGGAGCATGAACTGCGTCTCATGAGAGGAAGGGAATGGTTTGAATGTTAATGTCAAGGGCCTTCCTCCAGCCCCCAGTCCCAAAGCATTCACACTAGTTTGACCTAAGATTAGCCTTCCTTTTTCAGAAAATTTAGTGACATAAGTGGACACTGGATGATCTGGATTATTCTGGCAACACTCATTTGGGGGCTCTTGGAAAGAAATCTAGATGAAAAGTTTCCTGGGTCGAATACACGGTGAGAACCTTGGATTGGGAGCGGCTTCATAGGTCTCCTTGTCGCTGTTCTTCTTTTAAGATGAGAAATGTGCCAGCCAAGGAGGCTAAGTGACTAGTTTAGGTTCACAAAGGAGAGACTTGGCAAAGCCAAGACGGCCCCACAGACATGTGGCTAGGGCACTAAACTTCCTGTCACTCTATCTTGTCCCTTGGGGCCCTCTTTTCTCACTGTTGTTGTTTGATGGAATATTTTTTTAAGATCATTCAATAAAAAAATGAGACCTGCTTTTGGTAGTAAAATCAACTCCAGAGTAACAAATACAGTTAAAAAACAAAACAAACAGCTCTGACAAAAGGCAGATCCGTATAGCACTGTGGGGAAGGACCGCAGCCAGTGTCATGGTGCCTGGCTTTGAGTCGCAGCTCCAGTCGCCATGCATGCCAGCTTCCCTGCTGATGTGCGCCCTGGGTGCTGGTGGCCATGGCTCAGGCACTTAGGTCTTTGCAAACCCATGAGGGAGAGCCAGATGAAATTCCAGATTCCTGCCTTTGACCTGGCCGAAGTCTGGCTGTGCAGGCATTTAGAAAGTGAAGAATAGTCTGTGTCTATTTGTCTGCCTTTTACATAAGTAAAAAGCCCATTCATTTTTTTTTTTTTAAATTAAAAACCCTCTGACTTGAACTAGAGTTATAAAAATGGTCTGGTGAACAGTCTTCAGTGGTAACCTGCTGGAGCTTCTAGAACAGGAGACTGCACTGCTATGACCGGGCCAGGTCGTGAGGCCAGTGGTGTCTCCTTTTGCTGTTGTTTGTGGAAAAACAAAATTAATTCTGTATCTGCACAGACACTAAATGGCCACTTGCACCTACACCAGATACACTTTCTTTCCTTTATAAAAGGAGAGCTAGGGAAAGAGATAAGAGCCCAAACTCCCGGGGGGCAATGTGGATAAAGCCTTAGCGAACCGGGAGGTTCAGCCGACCTGCAGTCTTGCCTCCAAATGGGCTGATAGCAAAGCTTTTACTGTCACAGACAGCCTGCTAACAGATGATCATTGCCTGGCCATTTATTTCATTATATTTTTAAAAGCCTGATCTCAGGAGGAGGAGGTTTTGTGTTGTGTGGATTCCTCAAACAGCTCTGCATTGCCTGTTCCTTGTTGTACATGGGGCACTTACCCAAGAGCTGTCTACGCTTTCACATGTTCCCCAGCTCATGTCCAGCTTGGGGTATAACTGCCTTGTGATTCAGGGTTGTCTTTAGAGGGAGTGCCGTGTCAGGTGGAAAATATGATGCGTGTTGACCTCTTCTAGTTAGCATCTTTTTCCGAGGCAACTTCGAGTTAAAAGGAGCATGGGGAGGTGGGTGAACCTAATCTAGGGAAGGCCTGAAGGGCAGTTCGTACCTTTGCAGGTCGGAGGGGTTGGGGTGATGGGGTGTTGGGAGTGAGGGGTAGGGAGGCGGGGTAGTGTGGGGGGTGTTGGGAGTGAGGGGTGGGGAGGTGGGGTAGTGTGGGGGGTGTTGGGAGTGAGGGGTGGGGAGGTGGGGTAGTGTGGGGGGTGTTGGGAGTGAGGGGTGGGGAATTGGGGTGGGATGTTGGGAGTGAAGCGTAGGAAGGTGGGGTGGAGTGGGGGGGTGGTAGGAGTGAGGGGTGGGGAGGTGGGGTGGGGTTGGGGGTGGTGGGAGTGAGGGGTGGGGAGGTGGGGTAGTGTGGGGGGTGGTGAGAGTGAGGGCTGGGGAGGTGGGGTGGATTGGGCGGTGGTGGGAGTGAGGGGCGGGGAGGTGGGGTGGGATGGGGGTAGTGGGAATGAGGGGTGGAGTGGGCGGTGGTGGGAGTGAGGGGTGGGGAGGTAGAGTGAGGTGAGGGGTGGTGAGAGTGAGGGGTGGGGAGGTGGGGTGGGATGGGGGGTAGTGGGAATGAGGGGTGGAGTGGGCGGTGGTGGGAGTGAGGGGCAGGGAGGTGTTGTTGGAGTGGAGTGTTGGGAGTGAGGGATGGGGATGTTGGGTGGGATGGGATGTTGGGTGGGATGGGATGTTGGGAGTGAGGGGTAGGGAAGAGGGGTGGGGTGGTGGGAGTGAGGAGTGGGGAGGTAGGATGGGGTGTGGAGTGGGGAGGTGGATGGTGGACAGAAGGGAGATAAATTTTGTAGATAAAGAACCAGAATCCTATAGCCTTCTGTTGGAGATTGTGTCCATCAAAAAACAAATAATTCTCAAATGTTTTCTTTTGAGACAGATGGGGACACAAGAGTGATGCTATGGATTTCCCAGAGACATTTTCTGACATACAAGCTTTTCATAAATAGTCATCTCCAGGACAGCTAGTGCAAGGCTGGTTTAGTGGAATTCTATCTGGCAAGGTCTATGGTGGTCCAAGTTACATTCTTTACAGAATGTCTCTACTTCTGTAGTTGTTGGTACCTTCAGGGAAATCTGGACAGATGTGACATTTAATTTCTGATGTGACATTTAATTTCCATTTTGATATGCTGAACTGGGAGTTCGACACTCTGGCTTGGCTGCAGATGTGTTTGGGGTTGAGTTTATGGTCTTCTTCAGGCTTAAGTAACATGAATTAAAGGAGAAGTTCTAGGTTGCTTGGTCTAATTGAAACAAATTATCAAAGAAAGTGTGAGATCCATGCTCACTCTGGCAGCACATGTACTTAAACTGGACCGATACAGCGAAGATTAGCATGGCCCCTGCACAAGGATGACATGCAAATTCGTGAAGCGTTCCATATTTTAAATTATGTCCTGCACTTACAGCATTTCTAAAACTTAAATATCTTCTAGATTTTTCTGGATAAGAGATACACTGCCTTAAATACTCAAGCTATTCAGTGAAATCTTTATATGTCCAGTTTCTATTACCCACACTTCCCCATGCACGCATTAATTCATATGACATTAACTACTGTTTACATTTTTTATTTTTCTTTTAGAACCTCTTCATATATACACATTTTTTTTTAGGATTTGCCTATTTGAAAAGCAGAGATACAAAAAGGGAAAGAGAAAGAACAAGAAAGAGAGAGAGAGAGAAAAGAAAAGCTTCCATCTGCTGGTTCACTCCCCAAATGACTGCAATAGCCAAAGCCAGGAGCCTCTAACTCCATTTGGACTTCCCACAGGCGGCCCAAGTACTTGAGACATTTCAGTACATTCAGCTGAATCTGAAGTAGAGCAGCTGGAAACTTAACCTTTAGCATTTCAGAATAAATAGTCACATTCTCATTTTTAAAAAAACACATTCAATTTCATATACCTCGGAGGGGATGGCGTTGTGGCATAGTGTGTTAACCTGGGCACCGGCAATGGCAGTATATCATCGTGGGCACCAGTAGACTTAGGCCCTGTGCGCACAAGGGAGACTCAGTGAAGCCCCTGACTCGTGGTTTTCACTTGACCAACTCCAGCTATTGCAGTCACTTGAGAAGTGAACCGCTGTGTGGACGATCTTTCTCTGTGTCTTTGTAACACTCCCTTTCAAATAAATCAATAAATTTTAAAAAGGAAAGAAAGAAAGGAAAAGGAAAACAAACTTATACTTTGGATTTTCTTTGTAGGATTCATTGCGAGAGCTTTTTAAATGTTTTAAAGCTCATACTATTCTTTTGTTGTGCAGTATCAAAACTGTTTGCCTGTCTTCTAGCAATACATTTTATTTTGTTTCCACTCTTTTGGATGACACTGTAATAAATAACCTTGTTCATAATTAAAAAACAACAACCGAAAAGAAAGTGTGAGATCGCAGCAGTGAGTTCAAGGGCAGCGGTCATTGCATTGACCTCCATGAATATCACAATGTCATAGGGCAGATTCTCTTCCTAAAGGTAGATGACCAAATGAGTTGGTGCCCAGGGTACTCACTAACAACTTACTGCTAAGTTCCGGAGCAACATAGTACCAACATCAGCGCCCTAAAGTTGATGGAATCAATTCGTTCTTGAGCTTTTGGGTTAGGAAAACAACTTCCTGGAAAAATGAATCCAAGCCAAATACATGGCACAGCCTGCAAATGTTTGCTCACCTAGTTATTTCCAATGTGCAAGAAAAACCAAGCTGTTTCAATAGTGCTTAAAAAATAGATTGGAAAGTAAATCACTTAGCCCATCAAAAGCTTGGGCTTATTTATTCATCTGTGTATTTAATTTACTATCAAAGAAATGGAGCCAAATGATTGTTTTGGCTGTAAATAGATTCAGCTTCAGGGCTGCATCACCAGGCATCAATATTCTACTTGGGCAAGGATTATTGCGACTGAGTGGGGGAATTGCCGTATTTGAAGGTGTGGCTGAGGAGGAGGGGAGAGGTGAGGAATGTTGGTCAAAGACCACACTTGAGACCCTTCAATTTGATGTCCTTCTCAAAGCTCCTGGATGAGAGTTCATTTATGTGGAGAAAAGTCCTTTAGTGAAACATTCAAAATAACAAACATCAATTAGGCTGTGTGCTCCTAGTATGTCTTTCATCTCCAGGCTGGAGAGCACTCTGCAAACACTCATTAATCCTTCTAAATGCTGCTGCCAGGTAGGTATTAGCGTCTTCCTACCCACTGAGAGGGAAGTGAAGGTGGCAGGAAGCACTTCTCTTCCCTAGAGTTTTCACCTGTGTGGGACGTGGTCCTCATTTCCAATGGGAAATAACCAAATCAGAGAGCAAGAGACAGGTCTAGATGGTTGATTAAGGTGAAGGCACCTTGAACTGGAGAAGTGCCTGCACGTGGCTTTAAGACAGTGTGTCTTTGGAGCAACCGCTCTAAGGGAGGTGTCCAATGTTTTCTGAGATGTATCTATATTTATGTGGAACACATTTGTGTTATGACCTGTTTTCACGATTTTTATCCTGGCTCTGTGTCTAGCGAAGATACAAGCTTGGCTTTGTTTCCACCAAGACATTAGTGAATTTGGAGGCCAACTCCTGTACACATTTTCCTGTTCACAGTGAAAGCCCACATCCCCTAGTGAGTCCCACCCCCCTTTTTTTTCTGTTGATATGTTTCCATAATATATCACCTTAGAACCTTCTGGTTATGTTCTTTGACTGAAGGGGTCTGTGTTGGTTGTCCTGTGTTGATGCTTGTCTCAATGAATACTTCTTTCTGATTGCCACTTTATTTATTTATTTTTGGAGAAAGAATGTACAAGCCCAAATCTCCTGCAACGAGTGGACTGGAATTAGCTACTGTAGCAGAGTTTCCCTGTGGCTCGGTGAGGCTGTGAGAGGTAGGATCAGGCAGAGGTCGGGAAGAGCTGCAGGCAGGATGAGGGAACCATATTTCCTCCTTTTGGCAAATGACACCGAGAGCCTCTTTGCTACCTAAACCTGAAGCCTGGCAGTTGTCCATGCTTCTTCCTTGTTCATCTTTAATTGGTCATAAAATCCTGTTGCTATTACCTAAAGAACTAGCCCTATGGCATCAGTTCATCACTTTTTTTCACCTGGATTTTTGCAACTATGTCCTAAACAGTTCTCCCTGTCTCTCATCTCTGTCCACTTCATTGATTTCCCAATGGCTGCCAAAGTGAAATTTCTACAGCACTCACTCTCTCCCTCCCCAATTATAAATGCACTCATTCCCTACTGGCTTCATGATTGTATCCTCATTCCATAAGATGCCCAAAGAAAGGACATGATGTGGCCTGGGCCACTGACTTCGGTCCCAGCTCTGCTGACAGAGCCGGTGGTCCAGGTTTGAGCCTTTCTAGCTCTCATTGTTTCTAAGATAGTGTAGATCTAGTCATCACATCCTCCAGAAAGCCTTTGCCAGAACTTTCCTCTGCTCTCAAGTCTGGAATGAAGAATGGTCTTCTTTGCTCTGGCAGGACCCTATGATTACCTGAATGAAAGCACTTATCAAATATTCATCAAGTTCTGCTTTCTTACCTTTCCTGTTAGACTTTGGAATCTTGCAGGGCGAGTGGAGTTTTTCATTCCAAAAACCCCATCCAGAGCAAAATGCATAATAGTGCTGAATAAAAGTTTGCCAAATGATTGTTCAATGAGGAAGTAAGAACTCAATCCACATCTCCATGTTGATGGAAGAAATGCAACTGAAGCATCATTGCTACTGCTCAGGGTCTTAACAGGCACGTGGATGTGGAATACAATTGTCCTCAATGGCAACTTAACAGGCCCAATCCCCGCCCTTCTAAATTGTTTTATTTTGTTAAGTAATGTGAATATTACACGTAAATTTGTAGACAAGCATATTTATTTACCCACATACCTTTGTGGTTTGTGTAGAATTCCTAAATATGTTTCTTCAGTTGTTTTGTTGCATTATACAACTTCAGGTTGTGGGAGTCCCCCAGATGGATTCATATCTACACAAATTGTAGAGGAAAGTGATTTATAAAGATCCCATTAGACTTTATTTGAAAAACTTCAGATTGGAAAAAAAAAATTTGTGCTTGCATTTAGGATTAGTAGTATTTGGGTTGGCTCCTCTTCTCTTTTGGCCTAAATGTGGTTCCTTTATAATCCACTCTTTGCATGCTTCTAGGTGTGTCTGGCTTATATCATCAACATCTTAGAACTCATTCAAATCTATCCTGGTTTGACTCTTTTCATCCTCTTATAAATCATCAGAAACGTGAGCTTTTTAGGCTTCCCTTGGGCCAGTGCCGTAGCCGGAATGCCCCCTTTCGCCTGAGCCTCAGCGCTGGTCCACGTTCACTCTTGGGAACACCTCTGTGGTCACTCAGTGGGATTCCTAAATGGTGAAATAGAGGGACAAATGCTATTAGGGAGCTAGTGAAAGTTATTAAATACATGCATGAAATCATGATTTTTTTTAAAAGGAAATATTATGCTTTGGCAATATTTGCAAGATCTCTGGACTGCTTTAGGCTGGATGTTGAACATGGCTCCCTATTTCAGATGGCCCTTCATACCCCCATCTTCCAGTCTAACTTTTGTGCATGCCCTCACTGTTCTGAAAAGATTGCTTTTTTCTGCAGTGCCTTTGCATTAATATTCACTAAGAATGTTCAAGCATCATTTATTCATGTTTCCTTTGGTATCAGACTAGTTAGGTCATAGATACAGAAAAGAGGACTTTTTTTTTTTATGATAAATTCCTCAACCGAAGTCTTTAAAGCCAAAGCATAATTAGAACATACATGCACCTTTTGGGGGTCCATCGGGGCCCTGGGTCACCTGACCAGGGTCCTTGGGCCTGCCTGTGTGGTGGTGCCTCATCTCTGAACCCCTGGAGGCAGGGGATCCATGGGACTTGGGTTGCCTGGCCCCAGTCCTTGGGCCTACCTGCATGGTGGTGCTGGATCCGTGAGCCCCAGGGAAGTGGGGCCTGGCAAGGTTCATCTGTGAGAACTGTCCTCTTCAGTGGAAACGATGGAGTAGGAGATGGCTGGCCCAGATCCACATAGAGGATATGGCAGCCCACTAGGGCCTGCAGAAGACGTCTGTTACCGTAGTAGAAGAACAGAACAAATTGGATAACTACCCCAGTCAAATGATGACAACAAATATCTGGGTGAATGGAGACTCAGGTGAACTATTTCAGCCAATGGACATTGAAAGTGTTCCCTCATTTTTGGATCTGTGAGATGAATAACATTTCAGAACTATTGAAACCATCTGGACAGAACCCTCAGAGCACGTGCCACATCAGGACCCTGTGTTGACACTGGTTGGCCGTTCTCCATCCCTGGGTTGCAAGGCTGGATATGGCTTCTCTCCTTGTCTCCACCCTTTCCCCAGATACAGAAAGAAGAAATAGA